GCTTGAGTGTGCCTCCTCATTGCCAAGACATACAACAGGTGGTGGAGGCAATAATGCCATTAATATGGTAGTACTGACAATGATTGCAGAGACGACTTCTTTTTTTTTTAATGTCCTTTCACATATGCAAAATAAATTGCAGCGTATTCCCAACCTAATCAACATATGGCAATCGAAGGCGTTTCTATTTATTTAACAGCTATAAAAAATTCCAAGATAGATGTATGCGTGTTGCGTTCATACATCAAAAGAGCTCGTGTACACACAATATGCCCAGTATTGAATCTATAACAATTTTTACGTGCACTGCGAGCAAAACATGTCAACAAAGTTGTGCTTTAAGCAAGTGCAAGTCATTGTCAAAAGCCTGTTTGGAAACATTTTTAGACCTGGGCAGAAATTTTTGAATAAATTTCAGAATTTGCATAATATAGAAATATTAAAACAAATAAGTTGAAAATGATTTTTTAAGCAGTTTTAGTGTGAGGTTAAGTCAAATCTTATTTATTAAAGAGAGAGTAATAAAAAACATTTATTGCTTATATAAATATAATATTCTCACATTTTCACATTATTTAAATATCTTGTTTTTAATATTTTGCTCATAATGCCCTTTTCTTTTGTAAGCCATAAAGTACCTTGTCTACTAAAATACACGTGGACGCTGTAAATAAAGTCCATTCAAAGACACAAGTGTATGAATACACACGTGTACACATATATTTAAGAAAAGTTGCGCAATATGCGCCACAGCTGTAGTAAAACCAAGATTTACGCAAAAATATATAGTCTATCCATTAGGTTACACATCGAAATGATAAGCGATTTGGGTATTATAAACAACAATGAACGCGACGTTTTAATATCTAAGTCGAAGTCTGGCGCTGAAAATAAACCAAGTCCAATGTCTTAAGGCTGCCATATTAAATAAACAAGAGACAGAAGCAGAAGCAGGCTTGAAGCACTTCAACAGGTGCTCCCTGAGATACAGGTAAACGAGCTGTCAGATATATATGCGTGGGCACAAAGCAAAGTTATCTTCATACCTTTGTATAGCTGCCTAATAGCTAAATAACTGGAATTTACTTCCATAACAAAATTAAGCGAACAAGTCAGTTTCAAGAATAAATAATTACAATTATTTTAAGAACTAAGTGGCGGCTTTTTGCCTTGGCTGTGATGCAGGCATCCCCTTTGTACATCAGCTAAGCTAAATGGAAATCTTGCACGTCTGTAACAGTTTTTGCTGCCGTTACTTGTTGTTGCTATGACAGCATCTAAAATTAAGTGAAACACTGGTAGGGAACTGCCTAGGACACCTGTTAAATCAATTGTAATCCATCCAGACACCTAATGAGTTCAACTCGAGTGCATTGACAGGACAATGGTGTTTCATTATCAGTAACTGTTGACTGCGCACAAAAAATAAGATTTATCAAATTTGTGCGTTATTGGGCAACAAACCCAAACAAAATTGATTTATGTGCGCATCGCTAGATATTTGTAAGCACAAGTATTAAATCTTGAAATATTTGTGTCTCATTTAAACTGCTGGGTTTTTAATTGAACTACAAATGCGTCTGCCACAAAAGTTGGACAGAGTGAAACAAAGTCACGTTATGGCAAGGTCACTGTCTGCTGAATAACTCACCTTGGCGTCATAAAACACACACACAGACGCGTGCACAGCACGCAGGCAAGCGTGCATGGTCCATTGGCCGTAAACTTTGGCGTTATGTATGAACGTCCTTGAATTAGGACTTACAACCTGCGAATATGCCACACACATATGCAGAAAAACTGGAGTATATTCTGTTTTAACTAGGGCAGCGTGACTGACTAATAAAACTAATTAAAAATGAAACAGGAAAGAGTGCGGTACAGGTATGAGAAACATTGACAGCATTGACTCATAATCGCATTACCGCAGCGGCAGCAGCTGTCCATGCTGGCGGATGCTTATTATGTGGGGCAGCTATGAAATATCATAATTAACTGCAGGGCAGCGTAACTTGTTCTTGACACAGATTGATGACACATACAGAATCGAGACTTAGGCTCTTAGCTATTTACTTGAATATCTAATAATACGTAATGGCCAAATCGCTTGTCTCTATAATGGCAAAGCAGATGTGTGTCACGCAACTGAACTGCGGCTGATTATAATTAATAATTCCGAGTAATCGGCTTTAGGCAAGAAATGGGACAAATGCATTGCGCATACGCCACGTTGTAAATGGGCAATGTTGCAAATTGACAAAAGGACAGTTCAATACATTACATTGAAAAGCTGTGAAAAGATCTCTCCGACTATCTAGGCATTTTAATTGAATCTAACAAAATATACAATAGAATAAGCCAATAGGGGAATTCTCACTTCTATATACATTTTTTAGTTTGCCTAAGTATTCGTTAATAAAGCCGGCAAAGTTTTTTTTAAATATAATTAAATACTCGCTCTGATTAAATTTTGGTATTCGTGTTAGCTTAAGTTGAAATATTTATCTAATTATCGCTATTTACTTTTAGTCAACATTGCATTCAATTAAGTCTCCACGCGGTTGAGTAGTCAAATAGGAGGACACATACCTTCGGGCAAATCTCCGACAAAAATAACGTATACGTCCCGAATTTATACAAACGCTGCCAACCTGTTGTTCACACAAAAGAAAAATACATAAAGCACCGCTGTACACCAAGAATGGGTTTCCGTTGCCAGCAGTATTCGGGTAAAAGCCGTCGAAAAGCGTTTAAAAACGCTTTTTCGCCAAGGTAAACAGAACTTTTAAGTCAAGGGCTCCCACTCCACAAATGCCAAACTCGAGGCACTTGTCGCCAAAAAGAAGGCCAAACAATTCCCAAAGAAAAGTCACCGGGGAAATGCGTTTTAAAAATGAAAAACAATTTTTTTTGTAGCCAATAAATTTTAAACAAAGGTTTAGTTATAAGCATTCAAATAAATAAATTAAATTAAATGTATGAAAAAGTAGTAAAACAAATGTAAGAACCCAAAAGTAAAAGTGACCTTCGCAGAAAAAAGACTAAACTGACCACAATTTAGCTTCAGGTGTTTTTTATTCTACTATCTAAAAGTTCTTTTCTCTTTGTGATGCTGAATAGTGTAATATTTTGGTTTTGTTGTGTTAAATGCACGGTAATTTTTATGTTGCCTGGAAAAACAATTGCCCAACGTGCATTAAATTTGCCGCCAACGGAAATTCTATTTAGTTTTGCAACGAAATAAAAGCCCGTACGTTTTAAAATATATTATGCCCTCTATGAATTATGCAAATGCATTGTACACAAATGCAATCCTTTATAATAAATAATTTGTATAATTACATACGCATACGCAATGCATAATTTGTGGATTCTTAGAAAAGAGGAATGGCATGGCATAAAGTAATAAATATATTTTAAACACGTGTACAACGTGTACAAAGTCAATACAAACTTTCTGTCATCTGCATTTCCATTAAATTTAACCAAAATCCCGCAAAGAGGAAATGAACACAAGTATTTGAGATCGCCCGATGCCAATCAATTAATCATTGCAAATAAATTTCCGGCTGTGCGCTGTGATATTAAATTAAATTGAGTTCACAGTTCACAAAAAGACGTGACTGTATTAACATTAACCTCATTCACACTCAATAGAAATTAAAGCGACGATAAATAAATCAGAGTGTTCTTCCAGATAAATTCCACAATGCAGCAAAAAGTGAAGCGCCGAACATTTACCCCAGCGCACTTTAAAGGCCAGACAAATTGTGCTGAACAAAGGGAGACTGCGCTCAAAATAAAATTTAAGTCAAGCTCCCTTGGTCGAAGCCAAAGAAATGTTGAAATAAAATCAAATTACAAACTGTACCTTTTTGTATTTTGTGCAATGTTTTTTCCTATTTTCCCTTTTTTCTTATTCTAATAGCCAAGAGTTGAAAATCACAAGATAACGAACGCAATTATAATTTAATTGGCTGGCAGGAATCAAATATCATCAAAATACTATTCCAGTTACCGCAAAATAAACTACGCGCAGGCAAATTTATATTTCTACACAAACATTTTGAATATTTCGTTTGGTTGCAATGGGCTTTAAAGCCTATGTGAAATGAAAATAAGCTGTGGTCAGTTCAGATTACAATTTTCACTATTTTCTAGCTAAACAGCAGAGAAAATCAGTTTCAGCTTAGCTTGAAAAGCTAGTTGAAAACTTCTGCAACTTTAAATAATATACACATGGCAGCAAAACATGTTCAAGCCACAAGCATTTTTAACACTTACTTTATAATGGCAACCAACATTTGCGGCTTAAAGCGGATTCTGCTTATTAACTACATGCATTTGTGGACTATGTGCTATGTAAATAAGCATTAAGCATACGCACTGTTGCCCAGTTGCTACAGTCATTAAATGTTAAGCCCAAATAAGTCGTCTTCTTATGCAACTAGCAAATACACCTACACATCTATATATACGTATTTATACATAATGTATGAGCATTGTTGCTTGGCCCTGGCTTGGATCCTGGCATTGTAAAATTTCACTTTTAACATGAATTTCAATTGCGTTGCGACACTTACAAAATTGTCCAAGCCAATGCTTTGACGAGATGCTTTCATTGTTATTTTTTTATATTATCTTGTTGATATTTGCGTTATATATTTGGCTGTTTCCTATGCTCCCATCAAATTGTCTACGGAATTTCCGCATACGTGAACAAAAGCCAGCTGCTCCTATCGATAAAAAATAATACAAAAAATCCAATAGGATGCCTCAAACTGGCCTTTGTAAGCAATTTGTGGAATGAATCAGGCAATGTCTGCGTTACATTTTTTCTGAAAATTTTTGACAAAATTGAAATCTGGCGAAGCAGTGAATATATATTAAATGGCCTGCATAAGAAAACAGATACATATCACGTGTATGTGTCAGCTTTGCAGCGAGAAGTCATATTCAGCACTGAAACCGAGTGGATAAGTAGTTGCTTTCGAGAGTTCTTTAGGGAAAACTTTGCTGTTATGCAAATGCATGCACATGCAGGTCTTTACTGAACATATTTACAGCCTTTTATATATCCACATTGCATATTTCACAGTTGCCGTTGACCACAGTCGAACCGCCACGCCTCACGATCGTGTTGCGTCCATTGTTATAACCCGGACGACTGACAACCACATTGCCGTTGTTAAAGCTGCGATACTCCTGGCCGTCTATATACACCGAATCACCATTTGGATTGGGACCTATTGAGGCATGAGTTGAGTGCTTTGTTATTGAATGCTTGAATGCAACTAAAAACTTACAAGTCAAGCAAACGCCATTCACCACCACAGTGCTGGGATAAGCTGTAAATTGAGTATACGCCACAGGGGCAATTAGCATTAATCAGGAACGAATTTCTGTAATTGCTCACCGCTGATCAGCGACGGCAACAGTGCCAACAAGAGCAGTCCACACGTCAAGTACTTCATCTTAGTTGCAGCCAACTGCTCCACTCACATAATGCTTATATAGTTTTTTATAAATGCCTTGTAAATCAAAAGTAATTTGCATAATGTGTGTGTACTGAATGTTATCGCTAACGGTTCAATAGGCGGCATTCAATAAACGAGGCAAATGCGACGACTACTAAGTGCGCTACTAGACATTGATAAGGTCAATTATAATTGAAAAGGAGAAGAAACACCTAAGACCTTTAATATCGCGTACTGAATATATGCAAGGCAAGTCGCATCTACATGGCAATATACCCCTCTTTAGTAGCATTTTTTGTTGGGAAAAAGCACATTGATAACTATAAAATAAATCAAATTCCCCAAAAGAGCAATATATTTTATTTAATAACAATACAGCACAGGCAAATAGACTCTCCCACAAATTCTTGAGCATATTAAAAATAGCTTTATTTAAAATTCAAGTGAATCCTTATTTACATATTTTAGATATACTACCTGCTCAAAATTGTTTATGAACATGAATGATTATTGTGCTTCCAAAGAAGCCGGCCTTTCCCACAACAATGCAAATTAAAAGGTTTGCGTTGGCTCTGACCAAAGCATCAACCAATTGTCGTGACTATTAGAAATTGCATTTTCATTCGATGCTCGGCCCCACTCGACGTAGAGCACTTCGATTAGCAGCTAGCTGAAGCTCAGCAATGTATTGTGTAATTATTGTTGTAATTGTTCTAGCGTCAACAACGACGCATCACATACAGTGAGTTAGTAAGTATTTACGTTTAAAACTGGGCATTTCCCCACTTTGATTAATATTTGTCTCCTACATACACACACAAACACACACAGTAGTATATACCAGTTTGGGTTCACACTGGCGATAAGACGATCATTGAATTGCAAAAATAAAAAAAGTCACACAGTGTACAAACGACGCCGTATAAAAGTCAGCAGTGCCTATGGCACCTAGCCAGACCCGTTTGGCATCTCAGTACACCAACACTTCAGCCAGAAATATGGTGAATTTTACAGTAGCTTTTGCGGTTTTCATGCTATGCGCTTTCGGCATGACGGAGGCGGCCGTGTACATTGGTGGCGGATGTTATGATTGTAAGGGAATCGAATGCAAATAAGCGTCGCAACAAAATAATAACAAATAACTGACGACATTCACAGGTAATCCGCCCGGTGGTCAAGGGCCAGGCATATACACAGGCGGCGGTGGCCGCGGCAATGGCGGCGGCGGTGGCCGCGGCAATGGCGGCGGCGGCAGCTACTACAACCCTGGAGCCGGTGGCGGCGGCGGCAGCGGACGTCCGGTTTACTCGGGAAACTTTGGACCAAATGGTTATAATGGGGGAGGTGGAGGCGGGCGCTATAGCAACGGTGGCGGTGGCGGTGGCGGTGGCTACGGTGGGGGTGGTGGCTACGATGATGGTCTGACGCAAATCATAAGCGGCTAAAATCAGCTTAGTTTTTAAAAAAATATCTGTACATAAATAAAAACAAAAACAAATGTGACTTACAATCTTTTGATGGAAACTGCACACATAGCTCAATTGCAAAGTGTCGACAGCGTGCTTGAAGTTTCCCAATTAAAACAAAAATTTTCAAAAGTTTTGTTGCACACACAACAAAAACAAATATGACTTCATTGCAATAAAAATATCAATTTTTAGTTTATTGCAGCACAATATATGCTCACACAAAGCTGGGATTTACCCCTTTGTGATTTCCAAATAAAGCTCTTAAATCAAGAGTGCTTGGCTTAAAGATAAGAGTAGCAACCAAAATAGCCAAAGGTTAAGTGTAGGCAGGAATAAGCTGCACATGTGTTTTTATACCCTGTATCCATTCAAGCGATACATATAACAATCCAAGTAACTGTTGATACGTAGCTTATACTGATACATGTTATTAGATTTTATCTTACATGTGGCCATTGCCCTTGACAATATATTGCTTATCAGTTATAGACTGCGAATGCAGAGCTGCTTGCTGAACCATTTTAGTTACCCCACGTATCTCTAGATATTTTTGTTTTACACTCAAAGCAATCAACAATATTGTAAAGGTCACAGCATGCAATTTTTTATTGCACATTATTGTATGATGTGTATGTGCACTTTGTAAGGTACACCTAAACCACAGATTATTGCGTTTGAAATATATGAACTTTGCATATTCAGAACGCAATCAATACTTTGAATATGACTTTTTGATTAGCACATTCAAATCAAAAATGCAATCAGGGTTTTGGCGATAAACACAATAATACTTCTCGCTTTTTTACAAACTTTTAATTAAAAGCAGCTCCTTAAAGCAATAATGATTTGCTGTTGAGCAGAAATTCATCATTTGCACACAGGTACACTTGAGCCTGAAAAGCAATCAAACTATGGATTCCGAAAATTCAATAATATCTCAGCTATTCATGCCCAGACTAAGTTATTTCCAAGAAACCAATTTCAGGCTTTCCTATGCCAGTAATTCAAATAGGACCTCCGACCGAGTGGGCTCTAAAGGCGGACACGTGCCTGGCAATCGAAGGGCCACAGCTTTGTTTCACACATGCTGTCATCATCGGTCAGTTCGCAAGAGCAATTGAAATTGCCTACTCAGTTAAATTGACATAGTTATGATTTACATCCAAGTAAAACAATGTTTTGTTACTAATATCCAATAGATAGCTGCATTGAGAGTGTAAAGTTTTCCAGCACACTTTCAAATTAAGTTAAAAGTATGTTTTTCATAACTTATTAAAGCTCACAAAGCCATTAATTTGCATTTGTTCCAGGTGTTCCTTACTCAACCCTAATTTAATTGCACAACCCTTTATGCTGCTAAGTTTACAACATTATTAGGTTCATTCACTTGATGAAAACCCAATTAGTTTGGCAATGTTGAAATCGAGACCGCATGACGCAAAGTTCAATGATCGAGTGCACTTCATCATTATTATTAGATTTCATTAGAATGTACAGGAAAATCATCCGAAAAACAATTATGTTAGCAATTTTAAGTAGTAAAAGTCAAACAGGCTTCTTCCTTTCTTCAGCTAACAATATAAAAATTCAAATTTTCAATAGGAGAAGTTACACTAATTGATTACATTATTACACTAATTGCATTATTCGCTTATGCTCATTCCTTTTACACATTTGATGTGAGTATACAAATATTCCACACATGCATACACATTTTTCTTTCTACTTGTGTAATTAGCCAGCCAGTGTGAGGTGCTTTCAGAACTTGTTTAAAAGCATGAGAGAGGTAAGCAAACAAATATGAGATTCCTTTCAACATGCGTTCAATAAAAAATGCAAAATCACAGAAAGCTCATAAATTTCGAGGCATTCGATTCCCGAAAATCATTTTTTTAGTAAACGTAAAATTAAAATGTCAGAATTTTATATTTCCAACTAAGTTGAAGAAAATTAGTGAAATTTTAATATTTTCATGAATTCTATATTCTGGTTTGTTTATACTCCATGGACATTTGTTGCACTCAGATACTCTCTGCCTCGGGATTGATTTGCCTGTTACAGAGAAATGGTAGTAAGTTGAAGTAAGTTTAATTGATTTGAGCATTAAGTGGGAAATCGGATTCCGCAATGTTGTCGCCCCGGGACTTTCATTCCATACCCGGGTTGTGCATTTGCATGCTGCATTTTGCTGCACCCATAGAAGCAAGTTACCTAATTAATTACCGAGTTTCATTGTTAAATGGATAACAATTGATAACTGGTTTTTAACTGTGAACAATACTCTTTGCTAAACTCAAAGTTCATGTTTTTAAAAGTGCTTTGGCTTTGCGCTACTCGAATGGCAAGAACATCCTGGGCACAAGAGCAACCTTTGTCATCGTAATGGGTCACAAGTGTGTTGCACAAACTATTAGTGTTAGCGCGCAGTAAGAGCATCGCAACAAAATTAATATCGATCCTTATTGAAAGCAACGAGGCTACATAAATTAAATTCAGTTTTAGATTCAACTCACAAAGTTTAGTCACCTTAGACGCAACTCAGTACCAAACTCGTGCAACAAAATATGCGAGGTATTTGAAAACTAATTTTGCAGAGCTATGCGCTAGCCTAAGTTATTTGGATGCGTCAGAATATCTGCTTTCCATGCTAGTTTGCTTAGCTAAAGTTTGTCGTCAGTTTTTAAATGGCCAGCCAAATACACAGAATAACTTGCTGGAGGTAAATGCCAGAAAAACTTTACAATTCAAAGTTGAAATTGAAGACGTGACCAATTTGCCTTATCTAGAGAACAATCTTAAGCCCATGAGCTGTAAGAGAAATCTGTATGCACTGACTTTTCCTATAAAAATGGTTTTCAATCAGTTCGGCATATCACGTAAGCGCCATGTCAATTTTTATGGTGAAAAGTGGCATGTCAAGTATTCAATAGAAATTTGCAGTTAAACATAATGTGAATGTTGAACAATGAAATTTACATTTATTTAACACACAAATATACACATATATAGATAATATTCACCTTAAAAACTAGCAAGTGTCGCTGTCCGACCCAATACCCGCCCAAGAGAATCACAGGCCCATCCACGAAAAGCTCAATGCTATGCATTTACAATTGGACAACTAACACCACAACCAGCCACAGACCGAAGCTAATTTACGGTCTGATGGTATGTCGCAGGTAACGCAACCCCAGAACCATGGCCAGAGGCAAAATACTGCTCCTGATCCAGGCGATGCGCACTGAATGAGCACAAATGTCCTCCAGATGGCGGCAGTTGCTGAAGTGCTTCTCATCCGACAACATTTTAGCGGTTTCGCGTGCAAACTCCGCCGAGTGCTTGTAGCATTTGTACCGTGCGCTATTGTAGATGCAATTCTCGTATGCGTAACGTGCACTGGAAGCAAGTGGCCAACAATTATTTCCCCTCAGGCTGAGATATTCAGAGGATGCTTACCAACAAAATTCCATGAATTTATCACTAACATTACGTGTGCCGTCGTGCAAATCATCTGTCAGAATGTTCTCAAAGTCCGTGGTGCAGCTTATCCAATCCACCTGTATATGCGTAAAGCAATCCTTGTGCCGCAGATAATCTGTAAATGCAAAATGGTTAAGAATAACTATTGCTATATATACTTATTCGCTCAGACTAACAAACATGCAGCTTAGCCTCTAACTAATTGGGTCCTTGATGATAAGATCGTTAAAAGTCTAAGCTAGGTATTCACGATTTATTATGCCCTCATTTGGTGTAGAGCGAGAGTCTCAACTTTAGAACTCATTTGAGACCAAAATATCAGTTTCTTGTTTACGCAACGTTTAAAACTGAAAACGAAAAAAAAACAAGTAAGAGGTTCTAGTCGGGAGCTCCCGACTAGGGGATACCCTGAACCCTCTTCTTCCAACATCAAATGCATATAAATATTCTATTTTAGAAGCTATATGTCAAGTTTGGTGACTCTAGCTATTATTATTTACCAAAATTGCCCAAAAAACAGGATATCGATATAGATTTTTATCGATTGCTTGGAAACGGAGTAAGTTATCGATTATCGGAAACAAACTTGATCTGCGCGGGAACTAGGAGCATCTACATCTAAAATTTCAGTCTCTAGCTCTTATAGGTTCTGAGATCCTTGCGTTCATACATACGGACGGACGGACGGACGGACGGACGAACAGACAGACAGACGGACATGGCTAGATCGACTCGGCTATTGATGCTGATCAAGAATATAAATACTTTATGGGGTCGGAGATGCTTCCTTCTGCCCGTTAAATACATTTTGATTTTGCACAAATACAATATACCCTTATACCCATTTTTGATGGGTTCAGGGTATAAAAATTCCAAATAAAATGGGAGACAAGAATGAACAACAAATTTCGTTAAAAAATTGTTTTGTCATCTAAAAATATATTTTTGAAATATTTTTTATAATTATAATATTTTAATAAACTGAACGTGACATAAGATCCAAACAACCTGAGCTCCAGAACATGGAGGGACAATTGTTTAAAAAGCGCACATAACTGTCGATAATTTTTAAACTTGCATAAAAAGTAGCAAAACTTTCGTGGTAAATTTAATGTATATATAACAATGTATTGTTCTTAAAGTTATTCAAGTACAGAAAAGTTAATGTGTTGATTGGATACCCTTACCTCGCTGAAAGTCCTCGTCGGCACAAAACTTTTTGAAAAACTTACGAGCGCCATCGACATTATTTTTAAACAAGTTCAACTTTCGATTCTGTAGACAACGAGCTGAATAGGCATCAAAACATTTCATGCCACGGTTGAAAACCCTACAAATAAATAAATTTGAATATTCATTATGCATATTGTATAAAGGTTTAGACTTAATTTATTAAAGGTCCCTTAATGTTTCCACAGACTTGGGTTTTTTATTTTATAAGAAACTTTAAAAAAATGTTATAAGCTACCATTTATTTATTTTACTTAATGCCGCCACTGTTCTTATTAAAATTTTAATTGGTGATCAAATTACAATGCTGCCTTCATAAATTGAGCTGCGCTCGCCAAATTAGGGTTTTCACGAAAATCAATATCGCCCATTACCGTGATTATGCGAGACATAAGTAAAAAGTTTGTATTTGTGTTCAACTTTGTTGTTGCTCCTGATAATTTTACACGGTACTTAGCTTAAAGTAAGTGCAAAGTGAACCCTTTTAATCAAGGCAACAACTTTGTTTTCTTGGCCCAAGTTTGATAGAAAGGCCAGCCCGAACACTTATTAATTATGAACTCTAAGTATCTTAAGAGAGACGCCGCATCTGACCGGCTAATCAATAATGTATTTCACTTAATGCTCCTGGCCGAGGAGTTTTATTTATAGCAACATTCACACGTACAGAGGCACTTTATGAGCTCACCTTGCGTGAATCTGAAATAACGGTGAGACTTACTTGCATTTGGCAATGATCTCTTGTTTGCTGATGACAATTTTGGTATTCTGCAAAAACTCCATTAGATGTGGCGGTAAATCCTTGAAGCATTCGTCAACCATCTTTTGAGTGCTGCCGCACTTATTCACATGAGCCAGAGCCGGCGGCTGCTGCTGCTGAGTTTCATTTCCTAAATCAGCCATGGCAACAAGCACCATGCCACAGCACAAAACTGATACAAATACTTTGCCCTGCCACATTATCGTCCTCTCTTGAATACACTTGTTGCTACGAGACTTTATTTTTTGTAACGTTGTATGAACGAATCGATTCCCGTCCGCTTTTCGTCCTTGCGATTCGTCTGCTATCAAAGAACTGAGCCGGTTTGGTCAATTCCATCTATTCTTAAGGCTCGCTAACAGAACGCTGTTAACTCGCTGTTAAATTGATGTTAAAAACAGCGCATGCACCTTGGCGCCTGTTGCACGTGCTGCTTGGTTTGTTTACAATGCAAGTCCACAGTCCTTTTTTCTCTTAGTTGAGAAGACTCTACTTTGTGCATAATTAAGTATTCGCAATTTTTAATTGGGGCTGTTTGTTAAATGATTAATTATGCTGAAATGAAAAAGTACGAGAATATTTTCAACTTTTTTAGCTGTTTATCAATTTGGAAATCACGTTAATATTTATTTAATACAAATAAAATAAAACTGAAAACTTTTCAATTACCTACGCCAAGGACAAATATAACAAAAACACAATAATCTAACAAATTAAAAGCAAAAGGCTTTTCTGACTTTTTTTTTGCCTCAGAAGCTTCATTCCGAACCCCTGAATTGGATTTTGATAGCGGGTTGGCGTAGCCTCGCTTGGTGAGACGGACTTGGCCGTACATTACCTTACCGCATTTATGCTCTGGCATGGCCTTTTCGTAAAGGTCAATCTGCGCCTTCGTAGCACATATGTGGGAAAGTAAGCTAGCTGAAAAATGGCATTGATATTCATTTCATTCAACAGTATTATGATGATTTCTGTGTGCCTACGGACTGAACATATGGTGTACGGCCTGCTGAAAGTAACACAAATTAATTAACTGACTACCAGGCTGCACTTGAAGATGTTTTTCAACCCGAAACACTAATTAAAAACATTTGACATCGTGTAGCTCGTTTTGATAATTAATCATTTAAAAGCGTAGCCTGAGTTTTGTTGAGTACAAACTTGCCATACTTACCTGAATTAGGTTAACAAAAAAATGTTTGTACTTATTTAAATCATGAAAATTTCTTCAGGCTTATGCGATTCCTGTTAAGTCTTGTTCAACTTTTAGCAGCGAAAACTTTTTTTGATTTTCTTAAGCTACAACTTTGCCTTTATTTTGGCAGCTGACTTTAAAAGCATCAATGCTAAAACCTTAGAAAATGATTTTGCTTTAGCCTTGCGCTGTGCTATCGTATGTGAATTGGCTTTGGATTTTTTAATAATGCCATTGTTTAGAAGCTAACCAGCTCTCAGTTGCATGACGTATTAAAATTCAGGCGATGAATCCTGCAAAAACAGAACAATACTGCCGAATGTAGCCCAGTGCATGCAATTAGGAGTATACAGAGCACATGTACAAGTTCTTGTGATTTCATTTGGCGTACGAATGCCTCTATTGTTTCATGGTTATGCAGCATGCAGCAAAGCTGTGGGCGAGCTTCTCCATATTTCACAGATTTCTCGATAATTCTGCACTGCATTATTGAGCCCCAACACTACTCATATCACTATTGACAATGGTATATAGTTATGCTGGACAACAACTCGATAGCAAAGGCCTGTATGGGCCTAATTATCGGGCAGTGCATGACAAAACTTTAAATCAATTGGCATTGCAATGCGAGGCATTAATAATGTATTTGTTTTTTTTCGTTTTAGTTTTTTATAAACATTTATTTTATGCAAAAACTTGTACATAATTTAGTTTGATTTTATTACAGTTGTGTATATATGTATTTATTATTTGAACATATGTATGTGGATAGATTTGCAAGATTTCAATGAATTTGCAATTATATGATTTATATTTGATGTTTTATATTTAAATGAATGAATATTGTTTGAAATAAATTTTTCCCAATAACACAATACATACAACATTCATTGCAATGTGCTTAAGCTTATTATGGTATATGTATATATAGTAGCTTTATTAAATTACTCACAATCATCAATTGAATTGAATTTCGAAATCGAACACGAAACCAAAATAACAACGAGAAGATTCGTTTTAGGCTGCACACCAAAAGATTTGAAAATTTTGGCGGTGCTCATTGCTACGATTGCACGATTGCCGTTACTAAACATAAATATTATTTAAAATTGTATCATCATTAAATAGTTTTTCTTTAAATTATTTAATCTGTTGTAATTATTGAGTATGTCGCTTCACATATTTCATATTATAATTTCATAATGTTTTGGCTGCTGCCTGTGATTTTCGCCACTTCTCCTTATTTAATTTACTCATTCATTTTTTTGTTTACTTTTTTTTATTTATTTAATTTTTGTATGATTTTTGATTTGTGCCGCTATAAAATTAATTTAACATTTAACTTAGATGCAATATGTTTGAAAGGCACACTAATTACATATTTGTTTCAATTGGTTTATTTAAATTTAGCTTCGTTAAAAGCCCAGCTGCATTTAGGAAAATTCTTTAATTTAAAATAAAACGTAGCCGTCTTTCTTTTGTACCATAATTTAAATGCAATTTCATTTTTATTTTTCTCTTTATGTTTAATAATATATGCATTTTGCTTTAAATCGCATACAGATATGATAGTTAGCTGTTAATGGGTATAATGAGTTCGCGCTTTAAAAAATATAAATATTTATATAAATATATAGAAAAAATTTACATAATCTTGCGTTCTATAACTTCCAACATTTATTTTAAATTAAAGAATTTCTGTTTTGTTTTATATGCGGTATTTTGGTCAAAAATCTTTTACCCATCATGAATTATTTATTTAACATTGTTTTTTTCTTTCTGGTGTATAATACATTGTGCTTGAGCTCAATATTAACACTAGACATTAAAACTATTTAGGTTTTACTTGTACATTATTAATGCATGATATTCGTTACTTTTCATTAACTAAATATGGCTGTTACTTTTATTTTGTATTATTTAATAAGCACACGCGCTCACAATCAGCGCGATATATATACTTAATATTGATGTGTGTCTGTGTGTAAATGGGTGTATAAAGTATATAACATAATCATAATCGAAATTCTTCATTAACAACGAATTTGCGTCAATTTAACAAAAATATTCTCAGATATTGGATATTTTGTTATAATCTTATAAATTATCAGAGCATACAACAATTAATTGCCGCCTAATGAGTGGATGTGCGTCTGTGTGTGTGCGTGTGTGTGTGATTACATTTTAATTACACAGATAAAACAATTGTTTAGCCTTAAAAAAACTATAAAAAAGATTCTTCATCGCGTTGTTTGATGTTGAAAAAAATACAATGCTATAAAAAACGTTTTGCAGATGAGATTCGGTAAATGATATTCTCTTTTTTACTTTGTTTGTTTGTTTTTTTTTTTCTTTTATAAACAAATCGATATTTGTTATATGCACAATGGTTGTATGCACGAGACTGCAGTTTAATTAAGTAATTTTTGTTCGCTGAACTTTTCACTATGTACTATAACTTAAAAGTGGTTAATAGATAATATTTATGTGTGTTCTCTTTCCTTTCGATTTTTTTTTTTTTTTTTTTTAATTTAATCTAGAAACTATATATGATTTGTTAATGTAATTGTTTGTTTCGTTTTGTTTGCTGGCTGGCAAAACGCAACAGTAATGGCCACAAAATTCAATACATTATTTTCTGCTTCTTCTTGCTGTTGTTGATGTTGTTGTTTGCAGTCGCAGTTGCTGCTGTTGCATTTAGATGAGTGCTACAGGCGCAAGCAACAGGCCACAGACTTTGAGTGGATATGTTTTTATAGAGCATATACATGTGATCTTGTATGTTGTTGTGCGTGTGTGGTGTGAGTTGTGTGTTATTTTAGTAGTTGTCAGTAACAAGTGGGTCTTGCACAACTTGCAATTAGCATTTCACATTCCATACATAATGGCACACAATGCTGGGTTACTGCCATTGCCACACTGCTTCCGGTTCCGTTTCCGCTCCCACAGCTGTTCCTCTTATGGCTGTTAATATGCTGCTGTTGATGCTGCTGCTTCCTTCTGATCTTAGTACATCATATGCGAATCTCTTGCTGCTGCTTCCTGGCTGCGCCTCAATTGTAGGTGCATCTATCGCATCTATCCAAGACGCAGGCGGCAGACGGCAGGCGTCAGGCATTTGATAATAAATTTGGTGGTTTTTGTGTTTTTTTTTTTAATGCATTTTTTAATGTGTATTTGAGATGTGTTGTTGGCAGATTTTGTTTTAGATTTTTATATATATGTTTTTTTTTTTGTTTTGGTTAGCATGTAAATAAAAGAAGTCATAGAAATGGAAATTGAGTTTTAATAAATGGTTAGCAGTTAGTTATATTGTTTTTTTGTTTCGTAAAATACCTAGCAAAAATAAACATAGATGTTTAAATATGCGAATTATGAGCACAAAAAGTTACTAAATGAAAGCGGGCATATATTATGTATGTATGAACTTGTCTTTATATGTGGAACAATAAATAGATCATTAAGAGCAGGGCACACAACATGCAGGCCAAGATTTCAATACCTCACAGACTTTTAGTAACTTTTTACTTCGAATGTAAAAACTATTCAAAAAATTTAATTTTTGATAACAAAAAAAAAAGGAAATAAAATATAAAAAAAAGGTGCGTTTGTACTAAAAACACTCTTCGAGTTGAAAAGGACAAACACATACGCAATTTAAATCGTAGATAGTGCAAATCTAAGTTTTTGACATGTTAATAGTTTTGTATGTCAAACTGTTTAATACGTTATTAAAGAAACATTTATTGGTTATTAAAGTCGCTTAAGGAATTTGTCGAGTAATTTACAAAACAACGTAAAAGTTTATTATTTATTTTCTAGTTTTTATTTTTATCGTTTTTTTGTGTTTTTGTTTGTTTTGTTTTTACTTTTGATTTCTTTGTTTAGTTAACTTGGCCTTTGGTTAGTTAAAATTAGCAATAATATTACATCACATATCATTTGATATTTATATGGTTTTTATACATATGTAAATGCTATAGAGTATCGAATTTAAAGATTAGAGAAAATATAAAAAATAAAATTGCAGGTGCATTGGCTATCAATTGTTTAAATAATAAATTGTTCAAAAATGCCAAGGTAAAGCGTTATTTACATTTGTTCTATTTTTTAATGTTTGTTTATTTAAACGTAATAAAATGGTTTTTTTTTTTTTTTTTTTTTTTTTTGTTTCTTGTTTAGCATCAGCCAAAGGGAGTTTTTTTCTTGTGCATATCACGAGTTATTTTGGTTTTTTTTTAATATCATAATCAGACATCCTTCAGCATGGCATTAGAATCAATTTAGTTATTGTATTTGCATAGGTCTGTATACGAGTTGATTGTGTACAAGTATACATATGTGTTCAATTCTGTGTGTGTGTGTGTGTGTTTTTGTTGGTTTTGTGTTACAGGAGTTGTAAGCAAATGCATATGCAATTTTATAAAACATTACACAAGTATTTTATCTTACTATGCTACAGAGATATTAAACATATGCATTACTGATACCAGAACCGTTAAGCTTATAGATTAAGTCTGTTAAATACACATCAAGATATTTTATGTATATAAAATGTATACGTGGTAGTAGGTGGAGTTTGTTTTTTTTTGGCTTTATTTAATGTTTAAACTGTTTCTGGCGCAACATTTGCAAATTATTTATTAACTAATACTAAAGTGTGCGTGTAATTATGTACGAGTATAGAAGTGAGACAGACGTTAAGCATAGAGTTATGCCCCGGACTAGTATGTGGTAGTGGTTGGTGGTGGTGGTGGTGGTAGTAGTAGTAGTAATAGTAGTACATCAGGCCCCACGCTGGCTGGGAGTGTGCATACACAGAGCTTACAGCTAAAGTTAAGTACTTAAGTTAGGGCACTAGAGTTGCAAACAAAAGTTAAGTGTTTTAATTTTTTTCGTTTTCTTGATTATAATATGCATTTCTTCTTCTTTATGGTGATCAATGAGTTATGTGAGACGAAGGAAGTGTTTTGGTTAAGTTCAGAAAGCGTTAGATTTGAACGACTGAAAAGAGTATTACGAACGCCCGGAGGGCATTCTAAGATCGAAGTAGAAGTGAAATTATAAGACTTGGTGTACTTTTTTTTTTTGTTGTTGTTTGTTGGTTTTGTTTTCTGTGTTCGGGTTGCACTTCAACAAAAGTCATTGATCTTTATTCTGGTACACTTTCAGTTCAATTGCAACATACATTTTAAATGATATACAAGGTAAACTTTACAGACTAACAGGGCCTTAAAATCTAAATACACATATAAAATTCATAATAGATAATATAATAATAATAATAATAATTATATATGGCTTAAGAAAAAGTAATACAAAAAGTACTAAATTGCTTTTGCTTTCGAGTTTGCAGTAGAAATTGACATTCGAATTTCTTACCCATATCTTATTTTTTTTCTCTTTTTTTTTTATCCCATTTATTTTTTTTATTCTTTTCGTTTTTGTAAAACATCAAAGGCACAAGTCAACGTCGTCAACAAAGAAATAAAATAAACTAACAAAAATATAAAAACAACGTAATTTTTTATTTTATCGTTTAGCAGCTTTAAGCGGCTTTCTTGTCTATTGCACTAACAATTTCAGCATGTGTCTGTCTGTGTTGATGTTGCAAAATGTGTTTTCAATTTTTATTTTATTTTATGTTTTTTGTGAGTGTTGGAAAATGTATCAAAACTCGCATGTGAAGTGCAATTACCATTGTCAGAATAGCGATTGCTCTTCACGTGAAACAAATAAATGTAATAAAAACAATTTTTTTTAAAAATGAGTAGAAACACAACTAACCTGTGAGGCGCTTGAGTTATTTATTGGACTGAATTAACTGAGTTACGGAGCTGCACAGACCGGCCTGGCCAACTGGACTGGCTGGGTTTCATTGTGCACACAGCAGGGCAACAGCAATTGATACAAGAGGTTCTTCATATTATAAAAAAAAAACACTTTTTGAAAACAAATTGAATAAAGTAAATTTGATATAGATGCAGAGTGCAAAACAAATAAATACAAAATCATTAGCATAATTGAACTAAATTGAATAATGCCCAGTTTGAACATAATGGCGGGCTTAGATAAAACAAACCACATAATTTTGCAATAAGTTTGCAAGTTAAACGACAACACTCATCGTTAACTTCTTTAACATAGTGAGAAAAAAATTTTAAAATTTGCTTTAGATAAATACAAAAAAATTGGTTTTGGGTAAACGTTTTTGTTTCGTGAATTGAAACGAAATTCATTTATTGCTGTTGTTGCTATATTGTGCGTTTACTGTATCTCAATGAAACCCGCCGGCTTGGCTGGCACTCCGACCGTTGTACGCTGATATGGGTGTTCTCTGTTAGCTGCCAAACGACGTTGCTGCTTAAGGGCGCCTACTAAAATATACGATACGATACATGTAGATATGTGCATATAAAGTAATATATATGTATATGTGTATATATTGGTATATGGATTATATATATATAATATTCAAAGCAATAAATATATATATATACATAGAGGCATATATATGTATATATGTATATTGTCTACAAAACTTATATATAGTAATAAAAAGAAATACATATATATATATATTTATGCTTGCTCTTTGCTTTTGTTTTAAACAATACACAATAATTTTCCTTTTCTGTTGCTGCTGTTGGAACACTGACACTGTTTGTTTTGCTAATTACCAATTTCATTATTTAAAACAAAACAAAATTATTAAAGAATATAAAACGTTTTAATATTTATGTAACTGCAATTGCATATTGGTTTACATTTAAATTCTGTTTCTTTGGAATGAGTCGTATATATTGCATATTGTTTGGTACTGGGATATCGTCGAGACAAAATAAGTGATCTTTAAGCAGCTCAAACTAGCCTAAAATATATCTAACAACTATTTGTTTATATTTCTGTGTATATATAAGTATGTTATATGCGTTTTTCTTGTTTGTAACTTTAGTGTAAGAGTTCTTTAGCATTCTTCCAGCTGTCTATCTCAGTGTCCGTCTGTTTGATCTATGTGTCAAACATTTGATGCTCGATTTTGCTGACTAGTTTTGCAAATAATTGTTGGACGGCTGCCTGAACCTCAACTAACTTAAGTCTACAAATGTTTAAGCACCAAAACGATTCGAGGCTCCATATAAATATTATAATATATGCGTATATATTTTTTGCTCTTTCTTTTATTAAAATGCTACAAAATGTGAGGCTGTTACTAATTGCTCAAAATGGCACTGGCTGGAAAAAAATCAAACGGTACGGAAATCAAATGTAAAACTTGAACTTGTCATAAGGTACATTTGTTCATAAATACTGAGCTTAATTGCTACACAAAACTAATTAGCTATCAGCTAAAGATTGCACTTAAATAGAATTGAAAACTCAACAAAAAAAATTTTAAGAAAATAAAAATAAAAAAACATCAACCTACACCGCAATAAACAAAATAAAACAAAAAATAAAAATGAAATAAATAAAGTTATTTAAGACCTAAACGTATGTATTGTACATATATAGAAAACTAAAAAACATAGACAATTGTAAATACACTACTTAAAGGCTAAATAACTCTCAGCAACTTTGTTGAAGGCTTTAAGTATTATATGTATGTAAGTAGAATACTCATTGTTCCCAAACAACAACCAACAAATTGCGCCGGCAGTTGCTGTCATTGTTGTCTCTGCTGAATTGTTGTTGTTGTTGTCAACTAGAATATACTCATGTTCAAAAGTAGATAATTTGCAATTGGTTAAAGAGCTCCAAAACAAAAAAAAAGAAGCTTAAAAAAAATTAAAAGAAGACTGATCTGCGTCTAAGCGCCTAAAGATCACTTATTTGCCAATCGCCAGTTGCCAGTTTGTAGAAATGTTTGCGACCTATGAACTAACAAAAACTTTGACGAGCAATAATCATATTTACTTATGTAATTTTTTTTTGTTGTATTTTTTTTTTTTTTTCGATATATTGTTGTTTTAGTTTTTTGTTGGTTTGCTTACAATGAAGCTGCAGTTTTGTATTTGAGTATTTGTTGTTGTTCTTGTTCTTGTTGTGCTGTTTTGCATTTGTTGTTGCTAAATAAATATATATGTATATATGTATACATGTATGTATGTACTCTATAATTAAATATGTAGTATACTACTTTCAATATGTTTAAGTATGTTCTGTGTTGTACACTCTGTCAACGACAGACTCTTTTTTTAACTGGAACTAAAACTAACAATTTATAGACTTCAATAAATTCTTGGTGCACTCAAACAAAAAAAGTTCAAAAGACGGAGCCGGCATGCATATATCGACCAACTGTAAATATTTGTTTATATCAGATTTCAGATAAAAAATTATTTGTCAAAAATAAAGGAAATTCAAGAAAATATTAATATTATAGTAATCAAAATTGTGTGTTAAGAAACTTTTCGTTAGCTGTGAGGAGCGGCATGCAAAATATATGAAACAAGCGATGCCAAGGGTTAAAAGCGTGCACTAATCAAATTTGTGTAGCATACTTTATGGCACTGTAAGAATAATAAATCAAATCAAAGCAAGAAGCATGTACTTCGGTTAGCCGAAGCTTGAATACCCTTACAGTTCTGTTAGGCAACTGTTTGTGCTAATGGCAACTAAATAATACACTTTGTATATACACTTCAAATCTATCAAAGTACAAAGCTAGAAAGAATAGTTTTTTGGTATTGATTCTCAAAGGCAAAAAATTGCATTAATGTATTTGTAAACTGTAGTTAATAGTTTTCAGACAGATAGTCGGACTCAATTGGCTACTTCTTATTAAAATGTTGTATATATTACAAGTTTGATTACGCCTTCGATGCCCTCTGCAAGGGTATACAAATAAATGCTCAAATGAATACAAGTTAATAAGCTTGGAATTGAATTAGAACAGAAATTATAAATGTTATGCATAAACACTACTTTCACTGGGTTAATAAATCTATAATAAACAAAATGGTGCCTAATAAACTGAAATTTCAACTGCACGTATGTGAATGTGTCTAAGGTATCTGGGATATTCTCAATAAAACTGTCAACATTTAAATTATTTAAATAGCTTTCAAAGTTAAAGCGTTAACAGGTCAAGCAGGGAAAACCCCCAAAATGTATAGTGTAATTGTTTGTAAGTGTTGTAAGTAAGCATTATTGCTCGCAGTTTGGCTCGATAGCAAAAGTTACAAAGTTGGCTAAACATAACTGAACTGATCGATGACTCGCCTTATAAATTGGCTTATTAGATGTTCATATTTGTTTTTTGTTTTTTGTTTATCGTTTTTGATTTGTTTGGTGTAATTTCAAAATGATGTGTGTGCATGTGTTTGCTGGTGTCAACAGTTATGGCGCATATAGTTAAGAGTATATCGAATCAATATTTAGCTGATCGAAAATCATAATTTGTAGTTATAGATTATAGATTGTACGTATGTATATATGCTTCTTTTTTTTTTAATATATATGTATATGTATTAAGTAGTTTATCTAGCAAACAACCCACCGCTATGATCTGCATATTCCGTCAGCAGAGGATTGCCGGCCAGTGCAGCATAATTCGCGTAGTCACCATACGGCGCAAAGATCATGCCATGGGCGGTCTGATCGAAGGCACCTGTCGGCGCTGCCTGGGCGGACAATATGCTTGCCGCTGTTGTGGGCACTGTCATGCGTGGATTAAGTATCAACGGTGCGCCCAACGGTGCATTGGCGGGTGAACGTAGCTGTGTAGCCAGTCCGGACAGTGTGGGCGTCAACAGGCGACTATCCGATGCAGCAACCAAACGGCGCCAGTCCTCTTCGCACACTGCGGGATACAGAACAGAAGCAGAAGGAGAACCAACGCATGAGAAAGCTGTCCGTATAGAAAATCCATGTAAATTCAAAGAAAACACATTCATTATATCATTATTGGTTAGACGTATTAGATGGCTCAATTTGCATTCGCTTTCGATATATATGTAGCAGTATTGCTCGCAGGAGCCGGATGGTATTTTTTTTTAGTCAATACTGGGATTAGCTGTTGATATTAGACGAAAGTTTCTCTTTTCTGTTTATGTATGAGTCGAGTAAATATGTAAAGATTTTTATTGTTTTCTTATAGGTAGAGCTTGATAAACGTACCTGCGACTGATTTCGCTGTTGTGTCCCTATAGGTGCCGTTAATAATGGCTAATTCCATAAGTTGACGTTTCTTTAGCTCATCTTCGCCTTCGGCTTGCTGTTAGTACAAGTTCGCGCACGCATGTGTGTTGAGTGTATTTGTTGTGTGTGTGTGTGTGTGTGTGTGTAGTAATAGTAGTAGTAGTAGATTTTTTCAATGTATTAAACAAAATACATCAAAGCATATTAGATTGATAAAAGAAATGAAAATAATACAACAAAAATCATTATTAATATTATGGTTAACAATTTTATCAAAGATATTTTTGTATTTATTTATTTATTTTATACAGATAGATAGATACAGCAAACGCAATTGTTTTTCGCACACATTTTTTAATAGTGATTGATTAATTAAAGGGGGTGATTGGCATTAAATGCATGCCAAAATTTTAAATGATATTCTTGTTCAATTACACGTTGTGTAAGCTCATGAGTTGTTGTTTGTGTTTCGTATATTAAATTGATTTTATTTAATTGTTTTCTTCGCATTAAAAGAAATGCGCGACTTTGATATATGGCATATATATACTATAGCTATTTCGTATTGACTTACCGGCACGAGCAACTTTTGCACTTCAGCGACAGCCTGAGCCAGTTTGACTTTGGCGCGATTCTCTGTATCCTCAACAGTGATCAGGACATGCAGATCATCAGACAAGTGCTCCCAGTTCGGTTTACCACGATTGGCATCCTCCTGATGGAAGAAATTCGAGAATAACTTATAAATATTTGTATCTGTTTAATTATCTGTAAAACTACAATATATGCTGAAGGAGAACTTATTAAAATATGTTATAATTAGGCCGAGCTAATACTTGTTCTGCAAATGGTTTCTTGAACAACCCTTTTCTCTATTCTTTCCTTTCAAAAGCTAAAGTTCCAGTTTTACAGTTTGCACTTAAACTTATCTATATCATCAGCAGAGCTACTTAAATATTCGTACATTTTTTTTAGTGCTTCTTCACCGCAAACTCAACCACAACCACAAGCTGCAACAGTTTATTGGTGATGCGCGTAATAACAGAACCCGCCAAACGTGAATGCCAATAAAATCGCATTCCGCACCGCCCTGCCGCATATACTCTCTCCCTCTGGTATTCCTATTGCAAGGCAATAAAATAAAAGGGTGGTGGGGAATGCTTAGAAATTGGCGTTGTAAGACGACATTTCGTAGCGCATGTTTTCTAATGGCCGCAAACAATTAAATGTGGGCGTAACGCTGCGCCACACAGAATGCATTTTTGTAATTTGAAAATTCTGCTGAAGCTGTTACTTTTCGGCCACGCCAAATGCCCGCAGCCACTTTTCGCTGTCACGCTCGAAATATGTACTTAATATTTATAATGCATGCATGACCCAAGGCTCTGCGCAGCGCATTAACTTTTGACCCAAAATGTGAAAGAAAGCGAAAAATAAAACAGTTTATATATATATTGTCATGTTTAAATATAAATTCTTGGATTTGCTAATCAATTAGGCTCAAAGTGTCAGGCGAGCTGTCAGTTTAGTTTTTGCTTTTGAAGTTGCCCCATCAGTGTCCAGAGAGAGCAGCGCTGCCTGGCTAATTCCGCCACCACTTGTCAAATTAAAAACTGTCAGGCAGGCAATGAGCCACGTTAGTGGAAAAGCACTTTTTGCTTACAGTTTGGCTTTATGTTGCATGGATTTTGAAACCAGCCCAAAAGTGGCATTTCTGGGTTCCTTCTGCACGACTCTGAGCAATATATTTTACCCTATTTCCATCTCTTGTTTGCCTGCAGCTAATAAACTTTTTCGTTGGGCAGCTCTATTCTTACGCTTGTCATTTTCATGAAAATCTCATGACTCACAGCCTTTTGGCTGACGTTATAGCAGCCAGCACTGAGCACCTGAGTGGGTGTCAGCTCTTTGTGTATAGCTACTAAATTATCAAAATATTGCAACGCTATAAAAGTGTACATTTTTATATGTCTTGCCTGTCCGTCCGTTTGTCCGCCTGTCTGTCATGTGTGCCTTGCTTAAAATGCGCGCTACATTAACGAATTACGAAAATACATTTAATCATCTTAGCTCTGGTTTTTTGTTTGTTTGCCGAACGCCAAAGGAAATTAAATCATCAAGAGCGTTGGAGTGACAAGATTTGGATACGTACACATATTTATATATACATAATACATATATATTATATATGCATGTATTATATTATACAAACATACAGATGCATATTTGCTCATGCGTAGACTAATTTCCAGGGCACAGGGCACAAATGTGAACTTGAGCTTTGCCTTTCAATAATCTTTCGAAACCTCACACTAAGTGCGGTATATAATATGATGATGCCCACTTCTCTGTCTTATTTTTTGCATTAGCATATATTTACACTGTTTAGAACGAGGTATAAAATATTTGAGTTGAGACTGTCATTGAATTGACAATAATTTTTATTTGTGCACGGAACCCGAGTGAAAACCGACATTTCATTTCAGAAAAGTTCCCAATAAATTTAATTAGAAATGTGTTGTGGTTGTATAGTAATATCCGAGTGTGCCTTTACGTGGGCGGGTGGGTGTGTATGTGAGTGTGTGTGGTGTGTGAGTGTGTGTGTATGTGTGTGAGTGTGTCGGTGGTTATAGTTTTTGGGGCTTTTAGATTGGCATGCAAGCTATGCAGAGCATTGGAATGACGACTGTTGATTGGTATTTTACGTGCTAATTTAATCAAATTTTTTATTGTCTCGAATTGCTTATACAATTATATACATAAACATATATGCGAACAGAACTCACCTTCTTCTTGTCCCGCATGGAGCCCTTGCCGCGAACCATTATCTTACAACCAGTCTCTTGTTCTAATTGTTTGGCTGTCATGCCGCGTGGTCCCAAAATGCGACCAACAAAGTTGAACTGAAATGAAAATGTATAAGAAATCACAGGAAATGAGCAACCAATTATAATAATATAAATAACAAATTAGCTGTAGTCTTAATGCCAAAAGTTGATTTCATGAAAATTTAAAACACATTAATACCAAAACGAGAGGGCTGACTCATGAACCAATTCATTCAATGCACAAAACATTCTTTCAAAGTCAAAATTATTATTTTCAATTTTAGAGTCAATCGCTGAGCAGAAAGAAAAAAAAAACACAAATCCGAGTGCACAAGCGGACAAAAACGTAATATGACCTAAGGCGACACGCCTGAATTTGGCACGATAAACCAATCAACCAGATACTCAGATTGCCAACTGCAGCAGCAATGTTAACCGGCGGCAACCGTCAAAGGCATTTGGCATACAATCAAGGAGGCCGACTTGGTGGCGAGCTGGCTGACAACAGGTCATACTGATAGCGCTGTGATGAGGCCCGGCTAGTTGAGCTCTAGCTAACAGCTGTGTAATTGATGAGCCAACGGCCAATTATCATATGCCTCATGCCGTCTATGTGAACACGCCCTCAGGCGTAATTTGCTGCTCATAAATTAGACGATAAAATCATAGATTTATTAGGCTAACTCATAGTCGCATGTGATACAACAACTTAACCTGAATTATATATACACCATTTACATATATATATCTTATTAATGGCGCAACGCTAGCCCAGAGGCGACCACCCACCAAATGTGGCGCAGCTTAGCTTTTGTTAAAAAAAGCGGAAAAAAATCTATTCCAAACTGATGATGTGATGTGTTGTTGTTGTGTTAACGATGATGTGAGTGGCAGCAGCAACTACAACAGCAACACTCGTTGTTGTCGGAATGTAAGAAAATTAATTTTTATCTATATATCTATATCTGTTTCGTTCGCAATTGCTGTTTGGTTAGCCCGCATCTGTTGCAACTGCTGCAGGCGATTATTGAGATCGAATCAATTGAAAATTGCTGCAGATGCATAAATGCAGTTAGTTGCCTTATAGCAGCTCACAAATTTTAATTAAGAATTTTAAAGCGCGTATTGAAAAGGTTTCGCATGTAGCCAAAGACCAGGACAAGCGCTGCTTGCAACTTGAATGGTTATGCAGAGAGAATTTTCCATGAAAAGTATCGTTTATACGGGAAAATAATATTTACATTCGCAATTGTTGGTCTTTGGCAGCGGGTTATTAATTAAAAGTGGCGTCGAGCTCAACGTTTACATAAGAGAGGGACGCTTACAAAAAAAAAAAAAAAAAAAAAAAAAAACGAATCAATAAGCCAAATAAATATGGTTGTATAAATAAATTATAAATCGTTTTCTCTTTAATTTTTTTGAAGGGCTATTGGAAATCAATTATGAAGGAAGTGCAGTGGCAATTATGCGACGCAAGTGGAACGCGTGCCGTAAAAGCAGCAGCAGCAACAACGACAGCAACAACAACGATAAAAAGTAAACAATATTTGTTGGTATTGTTTACAGACAGAGCACAGCACTTGAGCAAAATATGCTGTTAACAGACAAAGACGAGGCACGGGATAGGAGAGAACAGGAGCTGCAAGTGAAATGAAGCAGCTAAAAATGTGGGCATTCGAGCTCTGGCTTATATAACAGATTGTGAGCGGCGATAAGAACGCATTCATTGTGTACTATACGCCTTTATATACGTATATATATATATATATATGTACATATTGATACAGAAAATAAAAAGAAACACTAACAATTGATAAGCCAGCAGCAGTAGCGGCCATAAAATGCTTTTTATAGAACGCCCTGAAATCCTCAAAGAAGGAAAGATGCACCCAAATTAAAAATTGATGTTAAGACTTGGTATGAAAATCGGCTGCCATGGTTGCCAATGTAATGGACAATTGGTCAAAAGCTGCTTAACGACACGAGGACACATTTTATTTCAGCCAAGGAACAAATGAACAAAAAATACATAATAGCATATTATGCAGTACAGTAGGCTTTCCGCTTATGTATCAAAGCATTTGTATCTCAGGTGGCAATGGCCGCAAAATTTGTAAATAGTTTTTAACAGCAAAACATCTTTTCATATTAGCCGCCAGTTAACTAGAAAAATGCAAAACTAGGCAACAGTCGGCGCAGATCAAATAGATTACAAATCTGTATAAGTACATTAAAACAAACACACAATCTATGTCTTCTGTATAGGTGTGTGTATTTAGTTATGCGCGAGTGTAACACAAAAACTGTGTCTGTATTCCGCGGAAAAATAAATCAATGTTTGACATCTAACAAAAAAAAAAACGTACTAACTACCAGGCAGTTGCTTTGTTTTTTTTTTCTAATGCGTTTCTGTACTTATTAAATAACTCAAAAATCGAAATGAGCATCTGAGTTGCAAGTAATTAGCATTTTATGTTCATGACCAATTCGCTGCAGTTTTCAGATTAATTGCCACTTTATTTACGACACACACAATGCATAAAGTGTGCAAAATGTTGAGACAAATGAGTTACACTTAGTTGCTTTTGTTGTTTTTGCTGAAAACAATTTAACATAAATATTCCAGCAGTTAGTAATGTCCGCTAATGGACACCAATTTTGAAGGCCCCTCTAACAGCTGTTAACGTCGCATGCTTCGTAAACTATGCTAAGCAGTTAACAGTTGTGGAATCTGTTAAGTTGCTCAACTGATGTAATCATTTTTTGCAACTGGTTCTCAAGTTGAAAATATTAAAAACCATACAAACTTGAAGAATATGCTAAAAGTATAAACTAACTCAAAATATAAGACAATTTTAAATTTGGACATTCATTTTTCCACACAAAATTAATTTAAAATGATAAAAATTGGCAATAATATTTAAAATTAAAACTGAGATCACATCTTGCAATTATATACATTAATGATCTCATGGTTTTTTCCTTTAATAAAATTTTCTCTATTGCTTACAGTTCCTTATAAAACTAATATATTTTCCATTTAGAATTGGGTAACTGTTTGACAATCTTTTAATCGAAATGTCTGTTTATTTTTCAACATATTACATTTACATTTATACAAATATGTAACTATTGAAAAAGACAACTGAACAGAGCTCTTGTTCAAATTTGTCTCTTATTTGAGCAGCTGTTTAGGTTTTATCTTTTATCTAACCTCTTATCTGTGTGTTTATAAATTGAAAACAGAAATAGCAAGATGCCCGTTGGGTCAAAGCGCAAACATGTGAGCTACTCACGCCACGCCACGGGGCGTAAGAACATTTTGTTGACAAGCAAGCTGCACAGAATGAGATGAACATTGACAGACAGATAGAGAGAAAGAGTGAATTTACAATGGACACTGGCTGCGGGATAGTAGCTTGAGCCACAGCTATGCGCGTTGATAGCTGCACAGTAATTAATTGTAAACTGTTAAATGGCATTGTTGTTGTGTCAGTTTCTGCAACAGATGTTGAGTTTAATTAAGTTGTATTTATGTTTTGGACACAGCAACAATGGCAGCAACAACGACAACGACAACAAGCAGCTACAATTAAGCGCATTAAGAGGCTGTATTTGTGGTCTTACTGTATTCAATGCGTTGCAATCGATCTCCTCCCCAAAGCCCCCTGCCATCATGTTTGCTTGGCCAGTGTTGACAAATTGTTGTCTATTTACATGGCACTCGTTGTTGCCGGTTGTCAGCCGGCTGACAAATCATTATTTACATTGTTAAATATGGTAGAAATTATTTACTGCTATTATTTTTCATGAAACGTTTCGGCTAATGCTGCCTGCCTGCTGCGTCAGAGTCAGTGGGCTAAATTTATGGCCAATGACGAAGCTTCACAAAACATGCACATATATGCATATACATATATATATACATATAGATATATAAAGGTATATGAATGCACAATAAACATTGTGCAAACTTGTTGCATTTGCTTGTGTGTCTGGACGATTTGAAACGCAATTTGTCTTGCTTATAACCATTTGGCTTTGGTCATACGCAAGAAAAATGTCAGAAATGTTGTGCGATTTTCATGTTTGGCTATCGAGCTAGAAATATTGCAATTAAATGAAATGATTTATCGAGATGCTGAAACACACCCGCGCACAGCCGAAGCTAACAGAAAAAAAATCTTTAGCTGGTCCAAGACAAAAATAGTCTGTCGAAATACACAGAACACCTGAAATATCAAACAAAAAATTGTATAAAAAAAAAGAAATAAAACAAAATTCTTCATATTTTAGATGTGCATATATATAGAGATACATCTATAAAACCTATGCCCTGTGGTCGTAAATCTCAACCGAGCTGTTCCAATTTCGATTTGGAAAGCAAAAGAACAGCATTTTAACAGCATCCGAAACAGCAGCAGCAACAGCATCATCAAAAGCAACTTTAACTCGGTTTTTGCTCTGTTTCAGCATTATATTATGTTCGTTTCTTAATTTATGACTTAACTCATTCATATTCATTTAGCTTTGCTCTTTGGTGGAGCAAAAAATCTGACATAAAAACAAACTTTATGCTAATGCGCGCCTATCAGCTGCTGCTACAACTTGACTAACAGTTAAGGCTTATGCAATATAGTCGTAGAAATTAATTAACTGGAAGATGCTTGTTTTTATTTAATTTTGTATGCTCTGTAATGAATTGCTTTTTAGTTAGTTATTGAAGCTATGAGAAAAACTTTTTTCCGCATGTTCACACTTAAAAACTTAAAATATAATTATTAACTGATATTTGATCGACTTTAAATAAAATTAAAATCTAACTAGTTTTGCTTTATTAAATTACAGGGTACTGCCTCGTCACAACTCCTTAAACCTTTTTTTTACTGGTTTGCTCTGCAGTTAGAACTTTCCAAAAACTTAAGCGTTGCTGGCTAATTAGAAGCTTTAAGCAAGCTAAATTTGCATACCGAACGGACCAAACCAATTAATACTTAAATAAAATAAAAGTTATTTTCTTTAAATACACTAAATTAAATATTGTTTGTTTTTCTTTGATCAAATTGTTAGTTTTATATGCCAAGCGCAAACATTTAGACAGCTGTGCAGCAAATGCTTTCACTTTGTTTCAAATGCAGTTGAATTTATGCATTTATGGAGAGTATCAACTCTGCTATCAAAGAGAGAGGGAAATAAAGAAAGAGAAAGGGAGAGAGAGAGAGAACGAGAGAACGAGAGACAGATAGAGAGATTGTCAGAGAGTGGCAGACATATTCATTAATTGTGTCAAGCAATGATATAAATTCACTTAGGCCTCGGTTCACGATGCTGTCAGCCATAAAGAAGCCAAACTACGCCCAAACATTTTACACAATAAAAACAAAATTAAACAATAGAACAAAAATAGGGAGAAACAGCATTTGAAATTGCATAAAATTAAATCAAATTCTAATTTGCCATGGCGTTTGGCTAGGCGGCTACACAAAACGCCTACGACGACGACGTCAAGCGACTTCCTAAAACGCTTCACTGATTTTGTCTAACCCATTTAAAGTACATTGGTATGTGTACATGTATGTGTGTGAGTTGGGGGAAGGGAGGCAGTACAATGGGGGTAACACTGCTGCAGCAACTGATACGCATTTTGCATTTGGCGAGTCTTAAGGCAAGCCCCAAGCTGAGGCAATTGCCAAGTCTTGGACAACTTAACAGCCGACTGATTCCATCAGCTGTCTAAAGGTGTGTTACACTGTATGTGTCAGTGTTGGTGTGTTGGTGTGTGTGTGTGTGTGCTTGAGTGTTGCCTAACCGCCCATTTGTTGCAGCAGCAAGCAGCAGCGTCTCATATTCTTTGTACGCTGTTAGGGGGCGCACCTTAAAGCGATTTCCGGTGTACCAGTTGCTCATTGGAGCTCATTGAGCAGGCCGTGCTGTCAATTCTAATTAGCGGAAGCGCTTCAAATGTGCTTCGATTCATAAATTAGATCATCGTTGATCGTACGTCGAACTATATATACATCTATGTACTTACATCTGGATGCTCACGCACTGGCACATAAACCTTCTCATTCAGCGTAACCATAGCGCCCTCGGGCTCGGGCAGGGTAAGTGGCTCCTTTTTAACGCCATTAATCTGGAATAGTGAAGCGCGAACGCGTGCAATTTCTGTAAAAATGATAAAGATATAATTAGTAAATGGTAATAATAATTTAATTATTGTAAAGAATTCTCCGAATAAACTAAAATTATCTATACTGCTCTCAATGTCAAAATGATTGCATTGGTTGGAAAACATAACATCTATATCAAAAATATTATGAGAAATAATAATACTTAATAATAAGAAATTAAAAATAATAATGGTAAGAAAATATAGTGAACAAACAAGCTATGCGTAATGCTGCTGTCAATGTAAAAACATATGTATTTTAATTGACGCACTGTTTAACTCGCCGCTAATCATTCTACTCGGTCATTAGAGCAATTTGTCATTTAGTTAAATGCACGTATTAAATTACTCTTAATTTGACTTTTAGTTATACATATTCTGAGCAGAGTAGCCAGCAAAAATTGTGCCAGCATACGCCATTAACGGCGTGTGAATGTTTACTTTATATTAATGCCGCTAATTTATTAGATGCAAAATACTCGACATACCCTACCCCGCCGCACCAGTCACACGTCGACAAGCTACACCAACGATTTTGCCACCTAGTGAAATCATTTGGTTTATATATAAACGAATTATGGCATGCATTTGCCTTTCAAATTACAGCGACTATAAAGCTGCGATGAGCTGCATGGGGCGGGGCTGTGTGTGGGCCATGTAAAATGCAATGCCAAATTGCGCATACGCCTCGGTGTGCGCCATAATTCACACATTCAGCGTTTGGGCTACCGCGGCGACCAACTGTGCCAGTTGACAGCGCCTTTACAATTGATATGATCAACATTTTGTTGTTTTATTGTTTACCATTGGATAAGCACAGTTGCATTGTCTAACTTTGGCATGTGCCCGTCTAGCTGGCTCAAACACAGTGGCCAACAATTTGTCACCAGAATGATAGGACTATTGATATATGCATATTTATACATCTACATATTTAGGTGTGTGCTAGGCACATGTCATACGGCATGAGTTAAGAAACAACCACTGTTCATTTAGTCGGGAGGCTATGTCATCAATTTGATGCATGAGTTGGCTGGCAAACTTATTAATCGCATTTCTTGTTATGGCAACGCAATACTTTTACAGCCTTCTATGCAGTTATTTATTATTATAAGATTCGTATTTCTAGCGGACATCGTTTTGGTTTCCACGAAATTACAAATTGAAACGTTCATTTTGTTTGTTTATTTCGTTAGCGTTTTCTTCAAAATAGATTTCATTCAAGTTCTTGACTTGCTCAACTTTCCACTCGCACTTTCTCAGAATTCACTTTGTTTGGAAGACAATGTAAAAGTTGTTGAGCAAATGTGTTTGTACACGTCTAGACATAAGACTCTAAGACTCTGAATAAATTAACTAAAAAAAAGAATATATTAATAATCGCTTTAACCACATTTCTGTTAAAATTTAATTTATATTACAATGTATATATATATTACACAATTTTAAGTTCAACTTTTTGCCTCTACCGATTGCTTTAAACTTTTTGCCCCACTTTTGTCCCTTGTGGCCCTCGGTGTCACTGGCTGGCAAATGTGAAATCCCTGCCAAATGTAAAATCGCAATGCATAAAATTTGACAATTTATTGACGCTCCGCTGCTGCTCATAAAGTGCAGCATAGCTAGAAAAATACACAAGTCTATATTTAAAATGTTGCAAAATGTGGCAACCGAGCGCAGAAGACGCTGCCAGCGGCTACCAGAAGGGCATCATAAAGCCGTCAAATTATGTACGGAAAGTGTTAGAAAGGCAGCTCCCGTCTATTTTTGTACAAGCCCAGCCGCCCAGACGCCCAACGCCCAGCAAAAGCTAAAACTTTACGAGCCAACTCAAAAATCAGCACATCACAACATTTTTTGGCACATCCCTTACAAACGACGCAGTGCAAACAGCACTCATGAGTTTTGCTGACTTTTGCCCATTTTTCTAGAGACTAGCTCGAGATTTTAAATAGTTTTAAGCGAAATAACACACTTAAAACCGTGTGCGGGTGTTGGAAATAAAAAAAATCTAATTTAAGCAAAAAAAAAAGAGAACATAATAATAATACTTAAATGTTGTGTTGCCCACACAAGCGAGCGTCAAGTTCTTTTTGCAAAAACAAAGTTCTTGGCGCCAAATTTGGTAGCGCTGTGTGTGTGCCATATATAGATATTCGATTAGATTTGAATTTCCAAGATAGAAATAGAGTCATAAGCATACACATGTAAATTATGACTAAAACTTGACTTGCATTGAGAGTGGCGGCATTTGAATGAATGAGCGATACACATTCAAAAAGCAACTACCTTATAAGCACTAGAGACCGAGAACTTGTTAATGAATAAAAAAGATCTTTCATTGATAATTATTAGATTGGCATAGCAGGTCGACACCTACACATAAACGAGGTGCACAACCTGCTCGCCAACTCAGCCAATGCCCTTAAATGGTCAGTTGGCAACGGACACGGCATTTAATTATAGACGCAGTCAGGTATATATCATACAGATATGTAAATGTGAAGAGAGCGAGAGCGAGGGAGAGCGAAAGACAGACATAAAAGGCAAGTTATTAATTAAGCCGCCTGCGCATATGGCTTTAGTCAGGCTTAATTGTTGTAATTTATCTAAATGCTGCTATCAATTTGGTCTCTAAGTGACTAATCCAAATCTATGATAATAACAACTGACCCTCGGGCCACCGATCAACCATTGGCTTCGTCATATGCAAATGCAAATGCAATTCTATGCGAATTTGGCGCGGCTTATTCATCTAATTTGCCTTTAATATTCGTGTGCCGCACATCAGTCACGTTGTCTGTCCGCCTGTTCGTCTGTTCGTCTGTCCGTTTGACATTTGACCGATTAAAATTGACAGCTGTCATGATTGCGTTTATGCTTGAAAAGATCTCAAGCGCAGATTTCATGATTGCACTTGTATCCAAAGAATTTGCAGTTTCGTGCGGAAAATGCCAGAAATGCCAGAAAATGCCGACTAAATAAAAAGCTTTTCGCCGGCGTTGCCCTTAATTTGCTTTTGAACATCTATTAAAATCAACGCACACAAAAACAAATTTATGCGCGCACATGCTTGCTTGCTTGCGACAAATTCCATGGTGTATTCAATATTTCAGTTTTCACTCGCATCTCTTAATGAGTTCTTTGGCCGATTCTTAATGTTCTTGGACAGCTAGAACGAGCCATGTCTTGTTATTTATTTTGGTTGATGGTTTTTCTTGTTTTTCGCTAGCAGAAAACAACATTTTCTTGTTCGTGTTGTTGTTGATCAACTGCGCTGTGAAGCAAATGAAATTATACTATGTGCAATTTTTTTAAAAGTCTCAAGAGATTTTCCACTTTGCTGCTTTGGCTGCTTTTCTGTGGAAATTCACGTATATTTTCGTTGCTTATAAATTATTTATGCGTGCAATGCAAAGGCGTTGCTTAGACGAACATAAAGTTCAATTAAATTAAATGTCAAGACGCAAACTTTTAAAAACATTTAAATTGTAAATAGAAAAGAAAAGTCATCTAATTTAAGTGAAAATACTTAAATTGATTAGAATTCATAGAGAAAATGCTCAATTGTAATCTATATTTAGTTTATTTTTATTAATAAATATTTATGTACCTATTCTTTATACATTTGTTTGCATTTGATTAATATGAAAACACGATTGTTGCTTCCACATAACCGCAGACAACCTTGTTCACGCCAAAATCTAATCCCAGCTTGTCAATCTTATAAGATATGCCAAACAGGCAGGCAGACAGGTAAGCAGACAAACAGGCAAACAGGCAGGTAGGCAGTTAGGCCAGTTGACACCTAAGCCAAGTTAATACCAAGCTCAGCTCACAGCTTGGCAACTCTGCGGGTAGATCAGCTGATTGATTGTTTTTGGTGGAGCGCCGTAATTTGCATTGGCTCACGACTTGCGAGTTTAAGTGCGCTACATAAGTATCTAAGTATCTGGCAGCTAATTTATGAATGCAAGAGCATTCATGCCACGAATTAGATGATTCGCGCTGTGTGTTCCCACCGCTCAGCTCAATGTGGGTGTTGCCAGCGTATTTTGGCCTTAACAATGCCAAAAGCTGATCGTGTGGGTGACAAGCCGACTTTTAACAAATTGTCACAGCAATGACAAACGCCTCGTAATGGCGAAAAAAACAATATACAAATAAAAAAATAAAAATAAATGCTTAAAGCTTGGCTTGAATGTTGGCGGCTGTGTTCCACAGCCACTGCAATTAAGCCGTTCGCCTCCGGCCATAAACCAACTGCAAGTACATTTGGCATGAACTCCACAAATGCCTTGGCCGGCCTTGAGAATTTGCAAACAAAATCACTTTGCGCAAAACAAAAACACGCACACGCACGCACACAAATATCGCATATTCACGTATGTGTATTCAAGTAATTTCATATATTTGCTTTTTGTATTTTGCATACTTATTTTGTGCACATTTCTTGGCCTGCGGTTAGCCAGTTCCATTGATATGAATGGTCGGTGGACAACAATAACAACAAAAACAACAGAAACAAGAATATTTATAAAATTAAATATGCTAAGCATTATAATATTAAGTATGTGTATGTCTGCATTATTTTTGGTTGCCTTTCTTTACTGAATTTTGTTGAATACTGTATAATTTGCCACTTGATTTTTTTTAGTGTATTCCCGTATCGTTAGGCTGTCGTTAACATGTTGGTTCACACGCCTCAATAACTTTGCTGCGATAATATTTGGTTGTTTTTTGTGTTATAAAATTAACATTATTATTTCAATCAACACATGCTATAATAAAGATACGCGTAAAAGTTGTTGGAATTTTTAAATTGCATTTTAAAAATATGCAAGCGCTGGCGTCCATTTTTTCAACACTTTTATTGACACAGGTTGAAACCAACAACAATAATGTTCTAGTCGAGAATACCAGACAAAAAGATACCCCGTACTCAAAAAAGGAGGTTGTAAAATATTCTGTAAGTACGCATCTAAATCTACTCAGC